GCTCCTCCTGATCCCCTGCAAGGGAGCTGGGAAAGCTCATCTGGAAGATGCTCTCACCTCGGCGTTAGTTATTCACAACGCCAGCAAGTTTGAGATGCTCCCAGGTGAGCCTGAATTTTGTCCTGCTTTCAAACCAGAATATCCACTAAGAAAAACAAAACCCCAGAATTAGTAGTCTCAGGCAGCCACTGAAAGGAGGCCTGGTGTGATGGGAGAATACCTCCAGGGAGGATGCAGCTCTCACTGGGGGCAAAGCACTGGCACAAATGTCAACCTAGTATAAATCCCAGCCTAAGGGAAGTAGGAGAGGGGTAAAATAAAGCACAGAGACTAGGCCTGGCCTATAGGCGTGTAAAAAAAAAAAAGAAATGTTAAGAAGCTGGGCTGGAGATCCAGAACCTTTTTGCTGACCTGCTCTAGCCATGGGGCCGGATCCGCCCCCAAGCAGCGCTGAGGCCATCACCCACCCACAGGCCCAGGGAGGGACGGGACAGTGCCCTCCCTCCCTCCAAAACCCCTCCTGTGCACCCACTGCCTCTCCGCTAAGTTCCCACGCAGCAGGGCTCTATTTATAGAGACCTCGGCCACTAATTATAGATCACAGCAATCAAAACAAAAGGAGGCAAACGCTCTGCACTTGCCACTCTCTGGCTCCATCCCCTTACCCTGGCAGCTCCCATACCTCAGTCAAAACCTCCCAAACTGCCCCGGCACCGTGGTAACAGGCTGTTCTCCCAACGGCAACAGCAGCGGCGGTTTCGCTGGGGACCGCAGGGTGTTTTACCAGGAGGACTGAGACCTTGCACGGCGTGAGGCAACGTCAGAGGGTGCAGCCACCAGCACCAGTTTGGGCATCTCCCCCTGGACAGAGCGTGCTGGGACGCAGCTGCTGCGTGGGCAGCAGCCCGGGGGTGGGGGGCGGTTTGCTCACTGTCCTCACCCAAGTCCCCCATTTTGTCCCCTCAAACGACTGAGTGTGATCCCTCCCAGCCTGGGCAGGGCTGTTTCCCCACAGTCTGTGGACTTTATCGTCTCTAGTTTCAAATACCCTGAAGTCCCAAAGCTCTAAGCTCTCTGGGTGACTCTTCCACCTCCAAAACAAGTCTCTGGACACATTTGGCTTGGCTTAGTTTTTTTGGCAGGCTCCAGTCTCGCACTCCATGCAAAGGGGAGTCAGGGAACGTATGTCTTGGGAAAACCAAGGAAGTACCACAGCACTAGGGAGCACGTCGGGGTGCAGACATCCTCAGACACTCACAACACAGCAGCTCATCCCCAAGCCTGTCCCTGATTCCCTGTCACCCTCTTTCCTGCCTTCGCTCAACTCAATGCAAGAGCCATTTTACCATCCTCCAGCTGCTCCAGAAAAATGTCAACCCCTGTACATTAACCGGCCCAGCACAGAGGTTTATCAAATGGTAGGAGCAAGCCAGCACCGAGGGGTAATCGCGGCGGTTCAGCATGGGAAGGCAACCCTGAGTGATCGTACAACCTCCACATCCACCCGCGGTTGGGAAGGACGAATTTCTGCATGTCTGAGCAGGCTCGGCTTAGCGAGGGCTCGGCAGAGCCAGGAACAGCCGCTGGCATGCTCCCTGCAGAGGGGAAGGGGATGTGCTCTGCTTGGCGTTCCCAGGGCCCAGGCAGGCTCTGGGTGCCGGCACAAGGCTGGGGCTGCTGGTAAGAACGACACCCAGCCTGAGAGGGAGACCCCGAGCAGCGAGTCTTGCAGCTCAGCCTGGGTCCGAGGGGATGGAGGTCCATAGCCTGTGCATGTCCTTCCCCCATCCCAGCCACTGTGCAGAACTGGTTTGAGTTTTGAGCGAAAATACAGCAGAGAAATGAGAGATATACAGAAAGAAGGTGGCCACGCAGGAGCATAGGCTCGGGTTGAGCTCAGGGACACCCGTGGGCAGGTCTCAGGAGGGAGCTGGATGCCAGCGGGTTGGCGGGTACCTGCTTGTCCCACCTTCTGCTAGGGGATTTCCACGCCCAAAATGCTCTAGTCCAACACCAAACTTGACCCACCCCACAGCAAAAGGCACCCGTGCCCAAGGCTGCCCCATCCCATGGCCTCTGTGTACCATAGCATCAAAGTCTTTGGGGACCCCCTGAGGTCTCCCTAGCTCATGACTGGGCTTCAAGCCACCCCTTCACACCCCACTGCTCTCCAACCAGCCGGGAGCAAGAAGCAGAGTCTCCCTGGCTGGGCATGGGACCATCTCCACCACCACCTCCAGCCTGGGGCTCCCCTCCCAAGCCCACCCCTCCCTCCCCTCCCGCTTTTAATAAGAGCAGAAATTGCCAAACCCACAAAATTAATGTCTAAAAGGTTCAAGGCAGAGCAATCCAATCCTTACTTGCAACTGTCTGGGAGGTCTCCAGACAGATGCCACCCGACTCCCAGCACACTGCCGAGGCTGCCCTCGCACCAAGGTCCCCACGGGACCCCCACCCAGCTCCCAGCAGGGCAGCTGGGCCTAACCCCTGCATCAGCTGCAAAGTGCATCCCCCATGAAAAATACAGTGTCCCCACTGCATACGGGGACATCCCTGTTACTTCTCCCCACTCCGTGGAGGTGGTGGGGACACAGCCAGGAACCGGCACAGCTGGAACGGTGGAGAGCCGCAGGCAGGGAGCAGATGAGCACCTTGGGGGAGAAACCAGTGTCCCCCCAGCAATCCCAGCCAGCAACGCCTGAGGTGTGGTGGGCACAGGGCTGGGTCCCCACGGGGACCTGCCTGCTGACAGCCAGACCTGAGTGCCACCAGTCCCCTCCAGTGACCCCCAACACTCAGCCATCGCAGCCTGATGCCGTGGGACAGTGGCCATGGGTCCCAAACCCACTGGAGCCATGGCACTCTGAGCCACGCTCTGGTCCTGACACACAGGGAGTGAGCCCGGTCCTGCCCCGGGGAGCGGGGTGAAGGCAGGGCTGTGCAGGGGCATCACGGGCTGCTGGGGGGGGAGCCTGGTCCCACCAGCCGAGCCACACCAGCACCCGATGCAGAGGGGTCAGGGAGTGACGGTTTGGCAGAAGAACAACTTCCCCCAAGGTCAAGCAGAGGACATACCACAGGACGCATTCCCACATGTGGAAGGAGATGGTCCCTGTCTGTCCCTCCTCAGCCCCCCAGACCCGTTCCTGTGTGGGTTGAGCAGCAAGCAAAAAAACCCCCATTTCATCCTGCTTGGGGGCTTTTTGTCCTGCCCCAGCCTGGCCAGTGGGGCCGGGGATGCTCTGGTGCCGTGGGCTGGAAGGGGCCGGGGGAGGCTGTGCCCAACTACAGCCAGGCAACACCTTCAACAAAGCTGGTGCAAACAGCAGCGTGGATCCCACGCAGTGATGTGCTCGGCAGAAAGGTCAGGAGGGTATTTTTACACCATGTGTCAGACCGCGATGAGGAGGAGGGAGCCGCAATGATCTCCTCCATCTATGGCTATGGCACGGCTGGACCGAGCCCTCCTGCCCTCCTCCAGTGGCACCCATTGCACCACGAAGGGCCGTGGGGACAGCGAGTCCTGGTGCCCCATCCCAGCGGTGCTTTGCTGGGTCAGAGCTGTCCCACAGGGCACACAGGGCTGGTGGGGTGCAGGGACACAGCGAGTGGTCCAGCATGGAGAGATGCCAGCACAGTGGTATAACACACTGCCCAAGACACCGACCCACGTCACACATGTGCACACTCCTTTTATGATTGTTTTGTTTTTTGGTTGGGTCTTTTTTTTTTTTCTACTTTTTCCTTTCTCAAGTGGAAAAAGCCCAAGAGGTGCCTGGTGAACTGCAGGATGCTCCCCTTCTCCACAGCATGCTCTCCAGCAATGGTTAACCTGGGGCAGGTCAACCTTCTCAGGATGCAAAGCAGCAAAAAAAAAAAAAAAAAAAAAAAAAAAAAAAAATTGTGTTTCCCAATATCCTTGCACCTCTACCTCAGATTGGGGCATCTCCCCACTCCAGCCAGCTGCACATCGCTCTCCTGCAGCACAGGACATGAAACACCATCTCAGGGTGGAGCCAGGTTGCTGAGACACTAAAAATGTATTAGAAGCTTCCACTGCTCCTACCCGAGACATTTAAATTATTTAGGGCACTTGGATCAACCCCAAGAAAAAAATACAAACAAACAAGACATGAAACTCGAGCAACGCTTGCGGTGCTGCCGTGCCTCCCTGTCTCACCGTACTCTCGCAGGAGGCATCGGAGGAGGACCAAGGCACGCTGCTCTCACCCCACATGTCCCTGCATGTCCCTGCCCCACGTGTGCGCACACGTCGCCCCACATCCCAGCGCGTTTGGGCTTCGTGAGCCTCCCGCCCAGGCAGATCCCATCACGCGGGCACTCGCTGCGCCATGCCGGCACGCTCAACCTTGGGCACCCTCCCACGGGCTTGCTGTAACCGGGAGGATAAATCGGCCGCCCTGGTCACAGCAGGGTTGACCCCACTGGGCTCATCGGCACCACTTCGCAGCTCACAGCAGACGGGTTTCCCCTTTCCTTTTGTCTCCCCCCCTCTGTTTTACCGAGGGGAGCAGTGCCAGCGGTGTGCCACGGCGCCAGGGCGGGTAAGCAGCAGGAAGGTGTTCCAGCTGACCTACTTTCCACACGCATCGCCAGGCAGGGCCTCCTTCCCGGGCATTGCTAAGGCGATTCACCACCACCACTCCCCAGCTGGCACTGAGGAACAGGGCGGAATGGAGGGGGGACAACCTTGGGGACACCCCCCCCCAGTGCTCCCTGCCAGCATGGGATCCGTCAGCAACTGATCAATCCCACTCCAGGTGGGATCCACATTCCTCCGAAACACCCACCAACCTCTGCAGACCGTCCCATGCAAACCCAGCATGGCATTAAGTCAAACCCAGCGAGTGCAACTCTTCACTGGTTGGGCAGAGACCTCCCCATGCTGCGTGACAGAAGCATCGCCCCAGGCTCCTCCAAAAGCAGCACAGGGTCCCTGGCTGATCCCCACAGCCTGAGCATGGCCGGACAGCACTTACCATCTCGTCGAGGGCGTAGCGCAGCAGCCCATGCTCGTAGAGGATGAAGAACCGGCGCTGCCATTTCTGCAAGAGAAGACAGCAAGGCACGTCACAGCAGCGCTCACCGGCCCCAGGGCCTTGCTGGGGACACTGGAGCTGCACACCAAAGCTGGGGGAGAGAAAAGGCACCAAAAGCCCTTTGTGGCAGGGGACTTGTGACAACAGGACACGTGCTCAGGTCTCGCTGAGCAGCGGACCACAGCTGCCAAAAAAGAAGGGGACACCCCACCAGCACTGTGGGGACTGTTCCTAAAGGGTGATGAGTGTTGTTGCAGAAGTATTTCTGCTCAGCCCCTCACACCCCAAACCCACTCATTCGGGGTGCCACGGGCTTTGCGAAGCAAGGCTCTGCCAGGCCACCTGGCAGGGCTCTGCCGGAGGTCTGCTCGCACAAACGCACGTTGCTCAATGCTGATTTACTGCCTGGCTTCGTGGGCACCCAAGAGGCTGTTTTGGGGTTGCTTCCCCATCCCGCTCCTCTCTGCATTCGGACAGATCCCAAGCTGGCCTGGTTTAAGCATACAGGAGACACAAATAACCAGAGACAAAAGACTCCAGCTCCTGGTCTGGAACCGGTACTTTCCTCCTCCTCTCCCAAAGAATAACCACAAGCCCCATCACATCTCTCCAAGAGATCCAAGACCTGCAAGACACCAGAAGGATCCCCAATCAAGTGCTCCCAGCCCTCAGCTTCATCCTACGTGATCTATTCCAGCACCCCGTGCTGCAGGGTGACAGGGTGTCATGCTAGATGTCCCCTAGGAGATCATGAGCTCCATTTGGATGGTGGCTGCACCTCTGCGGATGGCAGTGCCCAGGTGGTCCTACCTCCCCGGGCACTGCTGCTTCTACAGCCACACAGCAAACCAGATTGGAGAACTGATCTGGCTGGAAAACTGCCTTTTTTTTTTGTGTGTGCCAGGTTGTTTTCAGCCAAGAGCAAAAACAGGTTGAGCAGGCTGAAATAAAAAAGGTCCTAGATTCATAGCCCCAGTGCAGCAATTCTTATCTTGCTTTTCTCAGCCCTTTAGGCAAAGTCCAAGGTGCTCAGAGACAAGCAAAACTACCGAGGACCCTGTGGACCTCCACGTGCTTAGCAGACAGCCTCTGCTCTGGGGGGGGACACACCACAGTCCCACGTCCCCTTAATGTTGGGCCAGCAAGCCTGCAACTAGCCATGACTCCAAATAATGACCTATATACACCAGGCTGAACTCAGAACTCAATTCTCGTTCACTCAGGAAAGATTTTTTTTTTTTTATTACTACCAGCTCTTGAGAGCATTTTGGCTGCGTGACTGAGGGTTCACGGACCATTGCCATCCCTCCCACACACAAGACAGCCTTGTCCTGGCAGCCTCAGCAGCAAGTTCCCTGGAAGAGCAGCTTGAGGACAGGCTGGGAGTCCCTGTCACAAGCCAGCGGTGAAAGGATGTCAGCCTGGCCACGTCCTTCTGAGCTTCACACGCCCCCCCAGAGCAGGCAAGTAGGGGATGCTCCAACCCCACACGATGCTGTTGTTTCTGCCAGGCACGAGCAAACCACTTTGGGCAGAAGCTGAGTGTGTCTCGCTCTGTCTGCAGGTTTCTGCTGCTAACACTCTCTGCTTCAGAGCTCCACACAGTTACAGCAAACAGGAATCACCTCTCAGCCCCTTCCTTGCTGCAGGACCTGCCTGACACAGGGGTATCAGCATTAGAGGATGGGATGCAGCCTCACTCCAGGGCTCTGGGCATGCCCATGATGAGCTGCAGAAAATAAAGCAGCTGTTTCCAAGCACTAAAGGGAAATTGGGTGCCTCGCTGATGGTTCCAGCATGGCCCAGAGCTGCACAGTCCACACTCCGTTGGCCTGAGAGCCCTCCTATTAGCATGGCACGTGTCAGGCCAACCAGTCCCCAAAGAGAACAGCATCAAGGCATCAAAAACAACAGCAGCAAATGTAAAAAAAAAAAAAACAAACTGCAAAGACCAAGCCTGACCAGCACCTGCAGTGCCCCAGGCTACTGCCCAGCACAGGAGACCTCGCATCCTGGAAAAGGCATTCGAGCCCTGCTGCAGGAAACATCTCCTGGCTTCCTGGTTTGCGCAAGGGGATGGGTGTATGGAGGTGCCTGTGACACTCCTGGGGCCACAGCTACCTCCGTGGGCAGGGACAGGCCCTCACTGCTCCTCCTGCCATGCCACCCCCACCCACGGCACGGGGAGAGGGCGTCTCGACTTCGCTTACCCGGGAGCGATGCACGGGGTTGTCAAAGTCCGTTCCTTCCGGGGCCAGCAGCAGCCAGCCACCATAAATGGGTTTGGCCTGCGAAGAAACAGCAAAAGAAACACATCAGGCGCAGGGGAAACAGTCTCACCAGGAACCAGCACGGCGGGGGACGGATGGTCAGGGACCACGGGAAACTGCAGGAGCCTCCCCCCACGTGAAGGCAGCTGCATGAGTTCAGGCTCCTGCACACAGGCAAACTCAGCCCTGCTAGCGCGGGGAACACGATGCTTGATGGCAACCCGCGGTGTTAAATACGCTGTGTGTGAACAGGACTGAGATGAGGACTCAGGAGGAGGTAAAATCCCAGCCCCAAATACCAAACTCAGCTGCCCCTGCATGGCATCACGCCGAAAGCACCGACCTCCCGGGTACTGCCAAGCTGCAGAGCCCGTCCTCACTGACAGCTCTTCCCCCGGCCATCGGCAGCACGCCTCTGCTCCAAAGCAAAAACACACTCCAGACGAGAGCTCCATGTTTTCCTTTTGTTAATTAAGAGAGGAAAAACTACCCAGCGCTGGCAGCTCTCCAGCTCACAGCCGCTTCCCGTGCCGCACACATCCAACACCCGTTTCCCCGTACGGGCGGCCCCTGCCAGCCTGCTCCTCCTCGCCAGCGGCTTCCAGCAGCCCTCGGCCGAGCACGCAGGAAGGTCAGAGCCAGGCAGAGGGAAAACAGCTCGTTCAGCCGGCTGGGAAGAGAAAGGGAAAGAATACCCGGAAAGAAATGCCTTACAGCACTGCCGTTTATCAGTGGAAAGAAAAAAAAAAAAAATATCCAGGCTCTTTCCACCGGTGGTTTGGGTACAGAAGCGGCTGGTGCGAAGCAGACTCGGGCCACAGTGAGCGGTGGGATGGGGATGGGCACCAGGCATGTCCTCCCCCACCAACTCCTATGGGCACCGCTCCTGTTGCCTGTCAAGCTGCAAACTATTAGCCAACCTCATTCCTGGCAAGGGCTGGGGCCAAATCCTGGTGCAAGAGTGGCGAGGCATTGCCACACCGGCGAGGCAGCTCCGCGGAGGTACTGGGACAAGCCAGGAGGGAGGAAACCCAGGGCAGATCCAGTTTCAGGAGCCCCTGGGTCCGGGGACACTGTTTTCCACCACAGAACATCCGTGCAAACCCCGGCCCAGCCCAGCCACATGTTCCCAGCTCCTCTTGAAATTATTCGGTTAATCTTGTTGCTTTCATTTTTTTTTTTTTTTCCCTTTTCTCTCCTTAAAGCTTAAAACTGTTTCCAATTCGGTACCTCCCCTAGATTCCTCCTGCCAGTTTCTGTGGTTTTGTAATGTTAAAAAAAAGTTTCCCCTCTGGAAAAATCCCTGCAAACAATAGAAGAAACTGCCTATGCACCAAAAACTGTCAAATGCATGAAGCACTGAGTAAGCAAACTGGAAACAAGCCGGAGGAGCCCTTTTACTGTTTATAAAGTGAAAAGAAATAACAAAATCTCTTATCCCCCTCCACAGTGTGACATATCAGCTCTAGGTGTTGCTCTCCCAGCAGCTGGGAAAACATGATTTGAGGAAACCTTCCTTCCTTCCCTCTCTTTTTAAAGGGGATTCAAAACAATGAAAATGGGAGTGCTGGGAGTGGGATCCAATTCTGGGGAGTTGCTTCTCTCCCTCCCGGGGGTTCGGCGCACCCTCCCATTCCCATGACCAGCACCAGCCTCACCCACCCCGGGGGCCTTGCTGGCACCGACGGGCACCCTGCAGCCCCTCGCCCCCCCTGCCAGCCCCCCCCCATCCTGCTCACCTGGGTGCTGGTGCCCTGCTCGCTCGTGGCCCCCATGTTGCCCCCCGGCCCGTGCAGCACCCGCTCCGCGCCGGGCCCCGTGCCGCCCACGCTGCCAGCGCCCGGTTCTGCCACTCCCCCGGCACGCCCCACACCCCCACCCAAAGGTACCCGTGACGCAGCCGTGCCCACGCGAGGGGAGGACTTTGGAGTGGGGGTTCCCACTGCTCCCCGCCGTGCTGGGATGTGGCCGTGGCCACCCGTGCAGCCTGGACAGGGCCGCTTGCAACGGCCGTTCCCAAATTTCTCTTCTGTTTTACGGGAGGAAGGAAAATTGCAAATAAATAACTAAAGATAACCCACCAGAGAGCCAGCAAGTGCCTTTAACGGCTCGCTGCAGCAGGGAAAGGGGGTCCCCAAACGCCCCGTGACTCATGGTGAGCCTTGAGCAACCGGCTCCGGTGCTCAAGACATCGCCAGTAGCTTCCACCACCCAGGAACAAGGAAGAGGATGACAGTGAGGGCAGGACGCAGCGTTCCCAATGCTCAGCACCGCCACGCCAAGGCAGCAGCTCTCGGAGGTGATGCTACGGGCAGCCGAGCTGCTTGTAGGGCTCAGCCCTCCTCTGTCCCCCGATTTTATCCTCCGTGCCCCAGCACAGCCCCTTGGCACAGCCAAGCGCTCAACCCATCAAAGCCCCACGAGCAAAATCTCTCCCTGACACAAGCCACAGCGCTGCAACCCTCCCGGCAGCACCGTCCCACGCCACCCCGAGCACCCCACTGCACCCCAGTAGGGTCCAGCCCCACAGAGCCCCCAGGGTGACAGGCAGTGGGCAAGTCCAAGTGCCACACCAGGAATGAAGTAACAGTGAAACCCAAAGAGGGGACACCATCACCAGGGTCAGCAGTGACCAGCCTTCACCCAGTATTACAGGTGTGAAGCCCTGCCCTACCTCAGCCTGGCTTACACCCCTCACCAGGCATTATTTTGCCCTCAACCATTCCAGTTTTGGCTCAACGGACTGTATATAAAGCACCGAGCACCTGAAATATATGCCCTTAACATAGAGCATGGTTATTTCTTTACTGGCATCATAAAAAAGCACCAGTGGGCTATACTTACTTCGGCAGAAGCGTCCAATTTCAGATATTGAAACCAAAATAGCTGAAAGGTATGAATTAGAGCCAGTCAGCGTGGGCAGCCCGGTTCCACCAGCCAACATGCAGCAGAGCTTTTTAAAGCCAAACCAAAACAAGCTACTGGTAAAACCAAGCAAATGCCCACAGAGGTACAAGCCTAAATAAAAGGGATATGAATTAGCACACAAAGTGCCTGAAATAAACCCATCACACCTGCATTGGAATGGCCCTGCTGAAGCGAGGTTTAAAATAAACCTGCTCGATGTTGCGGTGGGAGGCAGGTCCAGGGGGGTGTTACCGCACCGGGATGGAGCTGGAGCCACACGACGCGCTCCACCAGCTCAGCTTCCTCTCGAAAGCTCAGCAAGGGGAGGAAAACACAACACCCAGCACTGAGCAAGAGCACAGAGATAAATCTTCCCCTGTCCAAGCAGATCTGTCCACCCTCACGTTATGGGATGGTGTTAGAGCAACCCTGGGGTTCCCAGGATGCCTTTGATCACGCGGAGCTCCAGCGATGTCCGAAGGGCAGCTCGGGGTGGTTTCCCTGCAGGTAGCAGCCACACGGGATGCTCGGCTGCCGGGTGGCTTTGCTTTTATCCAGCTGGTACCCAGCCAAAGGGTGAGCCGCAAAACGACGTGGAAAGCAGAGTGGAGGGCAGTGCGATACATCCACGTCTGGGGTGGGGTGGGGTGACGCTTGCAGGGCAGGCAGGAAGAGGAGAGCCGGTTCCTCCGGCACGGCTCGCGGTGACAAAGCCAACCCCCCGCCACGACCTCGGCCGGGAGGTGCCGAAGCCACTGCCTCGCCCCCCTGGGAGAGACCTGCAGGTGCCTCGCCGCCCCAAAAAAGCGGTAAAGCCACCGTATCTCACAGGGGCAGCACCACAAGGGAGGTGCAGCCGGGTTGGAGCCCCACAGTGCTGCCCAGTTCCATCCCGTCCCGTGGGACCGGCGGAGGCTGACTCAGACAGAAACACCCCTGTGTCACCACCCGTCTTCCTGTCACACCTCTGGCAACACCCAGGTATCCCATCCCGCCTGGCCCTGGCTTAGCTTCAGGGCCCCCACCACTGGAACTGTGCTGCCGGTGCTCCGCAGCCCCTCACCTGCCTCTCGGGTCACTGCACCGGCCACTGCCCCCATCGCCTTGGCCTGCAGGTCTGCGTTGCATCAAGGGGGAGGACGCTGCCTCCAGCCCAGCGCTGGTAGCACGGCGGGTGGGAGGAAGCAGAGAAGGAAGCAGCCCCAGCTCGGTTTACACAAAGCTGTCAGGCTGCTGAGCTGATGCTGCCCAGGCACAGACAAACCACCCCACCCCGAACCAGCTCCAGCAGCACTGGGAACGCCATTCCCAGCAGCCAGGGGACTGGGCTTAAAGGAAGTGCTGAGCCAGCCAGCGCTTCCCAAAGCCCACGGTGATACAGGAACCCCTGCAAATCCCCAGGGCTGCAGGGCGGAGGGGGCACGGTCACCCGCTTCCAGTGGGTCACAGGAGTGTGACAGCCCAGAGAGCCAGGTCACGGGGCCAGAGGTGGGCTGTGACACCAACCACCGTGCCTGTTGGACAGGCTGTTGCGTTTGTCGGTGGTACCTTCACCTCTTCCCCTTGCAAACCAAGCAGGGTGCTCGGCAGCACCGAGCAGAGCCGCGCCGTGCCGTGCCCCACGGGAGCTCACTGTGCAAGGTGCAACAGGAGAGCTTTGCTGACACCCACACCTCCTCTTCGGGTCCAGGCTCAGCGCCGTGGCAGAGCACCCACATCCCCACTGAGGTGCTGGGATGCCCGGGCAGGCTGGGGATGGCTCCACAGGCAGTTTTCACCCACCCCAACGTGCTCTGAGGGAAGTCCAAATCCATCACCAGGAGAGACTCCTGGCTCCAAGTGCGTGGCGGGAGGGATAATCTGTTTAGGCTGCCGGCAGACGTAATCAGCCTGTCTCGGGTGGAGGCAGGGTTTATTTTGTTCAGGCTTGGCAACTGAGTGGGAAGGGGGAAAAAAAAAAGGACCATTACAGTGGAGCTTTAGCCTCTGCACTGAATGCAGAATCCTGTGCACCAGGGAAGCAGTGTCAGGGCTTCCAGTAGCCCCGTGAGAAAATGATGTCCCCAGCCTGGCCCAGGGTGTGGGTGAACCCATGGAAACTCCCATCCCAC